TTTTTCCTTCTTCTTAAAAAAGACCCTTTACCATTTCACATAACATTGATTTGGTGGTGATGAACTCCTTTAGCTTTTTTTTGTCTGGGAAGCACTTCACCTGCCCTTTGGATTCTAAATGATAGCTTTACTGCATAATTTTGGTTCCAGGTCCTTGCTTTTCACCACTTTAAATATTTCTTGCCACTCCCTTTGGCTTGCAAAGTTTCTGTTGAGAAACCAGCTGACAGTCTTACTGGAATTGTAGGTAACTAATTGCTTTTCTCTTGCTGCTTTTAAGATTTTTCTCTTTATCATTAACCTCTTGCATTTTACTTATGATGTATCTTGGTGTGGGCCTCTTTGGGACTCTCTGTGCTTCCTGGCCTTTTATGTCTATTTCCTTCACCAGTTTAGGGAAGTTTTCTGTCATTTTTTCAAATAGGTTTTCAATTTTTTTGCTGTCTTTCTTCTCGCAGCACCTCCATGATCTGAATGCTGGTACACTTAAAGTTGTCCTGGAGGATCCATACACTATCTTAATTTTTTTGGATTCTCTTTTCTTTTTGCTCTTCTATTTGGATTATTTTCTTCCTTATATTTCAAATCACTGATTTGATTCTTGACTTCATCTATTCTGTTATTGATTCCCTGTAAACTATTCTTCATTTCAGTTAGTGTATCCTTCATTTCTGACTGGTTCTTTTTCATGGTGTCCATGTCCCTTTTCATGCTGTTGAAGTTCTAAGTTCCTTGAGCATTCTTATAACGATTGTTTTTAACTCTGTAACTGCTAGTTTGCTTTCCTAATGTTCTTTCATTTGGGACCTGTTTCTTCATCCCTCTGCAATTTGGCTGCTTCCCTAAGTTTGTTTTTTTGTATTAAGTAGAGCTATTTCATCTCCCGAATTTGGTATAATGGCCTTGTGTAGTAGGTGTCCTGTAGGTAAAGTTGTCACTAGTCACCATCACCATGCTGGTGGGACCCTCTCTGGGGACATTTCACCAGAAGTAATCCCATCCACCATAGGTGTTGAATTGATACCGAGCTGCTTTCTTTAAGGGACAAAGGGCTTGGGAGCTGAGACTGGGAAGAGGGAGCCCCATGAGATAAAGGGGCTATAGGAGAGTGGGTTCCAGCAGCTGCAGGGGGGGAAGGCCCCAAATGGCCAGACCCAGAAAAAGGGGCTCCCATGAGGCCTGACCCTCTAGCACAGCCAAAGTGTGGGCAGTGCACCCATGGGCAAGCTATTGGCTCTGGTAGCCCTGACCAGTCTCCCCTTCTACAAAAAAGGAAAGGAGGGGAAAGGCTATGAATGCTGGCCTGGTTCCCAGAACTGAGGCTGCTGAGAAAGTGGAAACAGTTGCTCATCCAGCCCTGTGGGCTCCTCAAGCTCACAGATCAGTGACCACCAGGTTTTGTCCCTCAGACTGGGTCCTTAGCTGCCACAGCCATGCCCACCTCACCCCTTCAAACAGTGGGCTGGGAGTCTAAGTCCTGGCTGAACTCCTAACCGACTTCACCACCATTGACCATGATCCTCAGGACCTAGCATGACTCTCTCCCCTGCTGAGGGTTTAGTGCGGAGGACTCAGCAGTCCTAGCCCGACCGCTTGTTATTGCAAAGGGGGCCTGGCCCTAATGGGTCTGCCTCGGGCCAGCCAGTAGTGGTTGGGTTCTTGACTGTGCAGGAAAAATTTCACAACACAAGTCCAGGTGAATTTTAGAGGACGTTTATTAAAGCTGGGGACAGAGAGACAAGGAAGGGCTGGGGAAAGGAGCCTAGGCTGGTCTGCCTTGCTTCACTAAGAAGTCAGAGAAAAGGGGGCCTTGAGGACAGGTTTAGGGGGTTTACCTGGACGAACTGCCACTGTCCATTGCTGCCCTGGTTGCCAGCCTTGTGGAGTCTCTAGAGTTTAGGAGATGCATGCTTGTGGGGGAAGAAGTGGGGAGAAGGCTCCTGGGAGGGAGAGCGCCTGCTGGACCTTCAGTTTGAGGGACTGTAAATGCTGGATGTTTAGCGGAGGTCTTAGGGAGGATGGCAATACAATAATCAGTTTTATGCTAATGTACCAAAGTAAGGTTTATTCTCTTCATCTGTCCTTGGGTATGGTTGGCAAATGGCACTAATTGGATGTCTGCTGTCTCCCTGAGTAGGGTAATTTAATCTACTTACCCTCTGGTTAGGGAAATGTGCACACCATTTACTCTTGTGTTCTTTTTTTTTTTTTTTTTTTAAATACATTTTATTGATTTTTTACAGAGAGGAAGGAAGAGATGGAGAGTTAGAAACATCAATGAGAGAGAAACATCAATCAGCTGCTGTCTCCTACACAGCCCCTACTGGTGACGTGCCTGTAACCAAGGTACATGCCCTTTAACCAGAATCAAACCCGGGACCTCTCAGTCTGCAGGCTGATGCTCTATCCACTGATTCAAACTGGTTTCGGCTCTTAAGTGTTCTTGGTTTGGGGAAGATATGATTTGCTAGGTGGCTGCAGACTGCTTGGCGTCTAGGTTTTCTAGATGGCTGTACATTGCTGTGTAACTACCTCGGTTTTCCTATTCCTAGCTTACTGACCTGTTTCAAGCAGTGCCCGCCCCCCCCCTCACCCCCCAGGCCAAGGGTCATCACAAGCCTCAGTGCTATCTCCTCAGACCCTCTTTGGGCCAGAGTGTAAGCACAGAGTGAATGCCTCCTTTGGTCCCTGCACTGTATGTAGGCCATAGGCTTGTCCTAACTCCCTTGAGGGGCCCTGGCTTCCTTCAAGGTTCCTACCTGCACCAGTCCCACCACCAGCAGGTCCTTAGGGAGGATGCACTGCCTAGGCAGTAAGGAGCTGTCAGAGCCCACGCGGTGGGAGCCAACAATTCCAGGTTCCAGTGGGAGCTGCAGAGCTGAGATGAATGCCTCTGCCTCTCTCAGGCTCAGCTTTCTGGGACATAACATGTGGCTAATCCTTCACAGACCTGATGGGTGGGTTAAGCCAAGAAACATATGGCAAGCCTTAGGGAGCCCAATAAATGAGAGTTCTTTTTTCCAAGCAGCTGCCCTCTGGAGAAGAGGGTGAGAAACCGGTTAAGCCTGTGGGGCCAGGGACCTTACTGGTTCTATGTTCGCTGTGGAAAGCAGATGGCACAGCTACTGGGCTAGCGCTGAACTTGGGCAAAGGCGATGTGCGGCTGTTGCCCGGATGGGGGTGAGGCATGCCGCGGGGCTCTGTGGAAACACAGGGTGCATGCGCCCCGCCCGGGGGAGGGCCACCACACCCAGTTCTTGTGCCATCTGCTCTCCGCAGCCCTCTCCCTCCTACGGCCTCTGCTTCTCACCTGTCGGCCACAGCAGAGGAAGGGGAAGGACAAGTTTTAGAATAATGTTTCTGGAGCAGAGTGGAGGGTTTTCAATACTTGTGGCCTGTGTCTGTGAGCAGGACGAGCGGGAATTTTAACCCCGGATTACCCTGTATCTTAACAAGCCTCTTGGTGATTCCTTCTGGTGGAAGCCCCTCATTTCAGTTGCTACAAAAATGATGGATGTGCATATACAGTTTACCAAGCACTCTGGGTAACCTATTTCCTGTGACCCTCACCCCAAATCCTGGAGGCAGGCACGAAAGGAGTGCTTGGCCCCATTTGGCAGTCAAAGGTCGAGCAACTTGCCCAAGGTCATCCAGCTTAGAATTAAAAGTGTAACCAGACAACCGAGGGGTCTGGGCTGCCTGTTATTACTCCAGCCAATTAAGCAGAGACAGGGTTGAATCATATATGAGCCTTTATGCCCATACTGCCGGCAGTGTGGGAGAGCAGCAGGTCTTCCACAAAAATCTGCTCTGCCCCTCTCCATAAGCTTATATTGTGCAGAAGGACAAAGAATGTGAGGGAAATTCGGAATTCCAGGTATAGGAAAGTAGGCCAGGTCTAATGGTTCCAGGTTCCAGGCCATGTGGGCCGGGGGTTGCAAAGGGCGGACACCTCCAGACTAGATTGTTTTTCTTTCCATAATGACAGGCGGTTCTCGGGGAAAGGAGGATGGACCGCATTCCAATGTGAGCTCCCATGTCCCGGGGCACACAACTCTCAGCCAGGTTAGGATGTGCTGTCTCTACCCAGAACAATCAGTTAACAGAACATGATTAATGCTTCTTATCAGTGTAGCTAGTCCCCACGTTCTATTTCTGCCCCTGACAAAAGGACCGTAATTCACGTCCCCAGCATAGACTTGCTGCTCTCCCCACGATAGGCCAGGAAGGAGAGAGTGTCGTTGTTCAGCCTCATGGATTGAGCTTTGATAAGGCACATGCACATGCACACGTGTAGGCACTCATGTACACACACGGGCACATGCTCTGTTTCTTTTCTGGGTTCAGCCTCCTGTCACTATGGGTAGGAAAGGGACATGGAAGGGTACCCCCCATACTACAGACCCTACTTTGGGGAAACACTATGCAAGGGCTGTGAGGGTGGTGGCCTCTCTGGGGTCTGAGACCCCCTTTAGTTTTGCTCCTGGCAATTCAGGCTGTCCTCCATAGAGCAGGGGGTCTCTCTTAGTCCCTGCTTTGTTAGGCTCCTGAGCAATGAAGCCACAGGAAGCACCTCTGATGTGTACTCGGTTTCAGGCTGGTGCATCCTTGGACCTGAGCCACACATCCATCGTAGACTAAAAGGCACCCCCAGGCAGCCTTTGCCAGAACCGGGTTAGCTGGTGGCATACAGGACAGGTGAGGGGTCCTTCTGCAGGACCTCAGCGGCCATTTCAGACCCACCTGAAAACTCCTTTGATCACCCAAATGTGATCACCCTCCTCCTTAGTGTGGCGGGATCCAGAGTCTGGAGGCTGCTGAGTGGGTGCTGAGGAGGTCAGGGCGAAGCTGGGAGGCCTAGGAACAAAGTCATCGGAGCCCCACCGTTTGGAATCAGATCCGAATTCCCTTTCTTCGCAGCTGGAAAGGCCCTGAGTGCCAGTCCTCAACTGGAAACTGAAATTGCTCTATGGCCTGTGATGCAATTTAAACATGATAACGCACCTACATCACCGAGTGCGTGTTCATTACCACTCAACGGTCAGGGAAGCGGGCCGTCTTCTCTGCTGTGAATAACTGTGTTTCACAGCATACAAATAGTTCTCAGGGCGGCCTGTCGCTCTTCCCGTGTTGCAGGTTTCACTTTTCATTTTATGTCCTGTTTCCTGGTATCATTTCCTCAAAGGCAGAGAACTGTGACTATTTTGGTCTTTGATGTTGTATCCTCGGTGCCATGAGGATGATCTGGTGCATAATGAAGGCTTGGGGGCCCTTGCATATCAAAAAGCTACCCTGCCTGCTGTGTGTATAGAGACCACATAAAGGGTGGCCAGGAGGGGGCCTGGGCTGGGCACGTGGACAATGTGTGGGCCCTGAAGGGGAAGACGAGCTGGGATGTAGGCTTCTCAGAGCGGAGCAGCCAGGGAAGCAGGCCACAGCTGACTCAGGGTCTCACCAACTCCTAAGGGCACAGGTGTGGAGGCGGCACCCTGACCCAATGCTCGGTGCTTTATTTGTGGGACATGTAATTAGGGAAAAGTTCACCCTAGGCTGAGCGGTATCTGTTTCTCATTCCAAGCCTGGGCTAAGCCACTTCAGGGTCTCCTTTGAGCTGCTTATTCAGGTTCTTAAAGGCGGATCAGAAGGGGTCTCCAAAGGAAAAGAGACGCGGAGGGAGCTAGGAGGTGCTAGCTGTCAGCATCTAGCACCTCTAGATGCTAGATGGTGCTAGATTTATTTAGCACGTCTCATTCCCTTGTCATAAATAAATAGTCTTTCCTACGACTCCCATGGGCTTGTGAGGTGAACGGACTGATTTTATGTTTGAAGATGCCCTTGCAGCCCCATTGGCCAGGCTGAGACCTGGGAGAAGAGCTGAGGGAAGATGCTGAGACTAGGGAGTGGGATCTGCCTGAGGATCCCCGGGGTGGGGAAAGGAAGGGAACGGTAGAGGTCTATGGGGGGCTGTTTCTCTGTTTTCCATGTCCATCACAGAAAACAACAGGTTCCTGAGTGGAGGAGCTGGTGCCCAGAAAGGTGCCCATGGATGTGGAGGCAACACTCCCAGACGGACTGGGCATGGCATCCATCTGGGGACTCTAAATACTGGGACCAGCACAGAGCTGTCTGCTCACCACATGTCAGGATCTGCCAGGGACCATCTCACAGCTAATGACAACTCCTCCTGTCAGGGCCACAGAGCAGTGCTTTGTGCTGCTTTAGCCCGCATCCTCCAGCGCAGGGCTGCAGGCCAAGCTGGTCAGCTCAGGTCACGGCAGACAATGGGGCCACAGTTGGCTCTGGGCAGGCAGTGGAAGCCGGTGCAGAGAATAGCAACAAGGAGCAAACTGCCCCGCAGGGACCAGGTCCACACCTGCCTTCCGAGGAGGGCAGCGGGCAGGGCAGGGCGTGTTTCGGCAGAGCAAGCTGGGCCGCGTGAATCTTGGGAAGTCTGGCCAGCTCCCAGGCCGGTTTCACAGACACCCACCTGAGCCTGATTTTCCAGTTCTCAGCTTCCCCGAGGCCCTTGATACCTAGTCAGTAGCTCTGGCCCCTGGGCCCCGGTCTGGAGACATGCTTGGGTAGTGAAGTGAAGGAAAACCGAGAGGAGGACTTGAAAGGGGCCCTAATCCTCAGCCCTTTCTTTCTGCTTGAAAAGGTCCCCAGGGAACCGCCCACCTGCAGGCCTAACCACTTGAGGTCAATGCTTGGCTTCTGGGAGCCACCCCCCTCCCCGGGGAAGGAGGAGGGGAAGTTGGGCTTCCAGAAGTGACCCTGTTAAATATGGTGTTTGATGGGTACTTAGCACGCCAGTAACAGGGAGAGTAACATCAGGGGCATTTGTAAGACACAAGATGTTGAATTAAAATTTGCATCTTCCCCGTCAGAGGAGCTAGCCTCAGCCCTCAACTCTGACCCCCTTGAGCAGTCCCTGGGCTTGAGTCTCACTTCTGCTGTCACGCTCCCCCAGTTGCCCACACGGCTTCCTGTCCCCCCTCAGCTATCAGACTTCTCCACACTGCAAGCTCCCCTCTCCCCACTCCCCACTGTGCCAGCCATTTTAATTATAAAGATTCCCATTTAGCTTAACACATCTGGCAGACACCCCCCCCCTCCCATTATAATAAACTTACGTGGAGTTCAGTACATAAGTAGACTGAAATTTGACTAATTATATATGATTTTTAACTGGTGTGACACAAGAATTTTTAAAACATACAATACCTGACTATGTCGTCAGGGGCACTGACCTTTTTTCCCTTAGATTATCGAATTTAAAACATGATGACAGCCAACACAAAAATAGCCATCCGGTGTGAATTAATCAAAATTATACTTTTTTTTGGCAGAGCGGCAAAAATATATTTTTTTGACATGCTGCAGAATTTTAGTGATTAGTTTATGTGTGGCATGGAATGAAAATGCTTGACAATCACCGTGTTAGACTTACATAGGACATCCGGGAGGTGAGAAACTATACAATGATCAAAGAGACTGTGAATTTAGTAACCACATCAAGTGCAACAATATATTTTTTTAAAGTGCTAGAATTCTATTATATATTATTATATTATATATTATTCTATTATATATTATTTTTATTCTATTATATATTATATATTATATATTATTCTATTATATATTATTCTATTATATATATAATTCTATTATATAGTATTCTATTATATATCAATATATATTACTGATTTTTTTACAAAGAGGAAGGGAGAGGGATAGAGTGCTAGAAACATTGATCAGCTACCTCCTGCACACCCCCCACCGGGACATACCCGCAACCAATGTACATGCCCTTGATTGGAATCGAACCTGGGACCTTTCAGTCTGCAGGCTGACACTCTATCCACTGAGCCAAACCAGTTTCGGCGGTACAACAATATTTTATTTATCAAAGGAGCATCCAGGCACCTTCGAAAAAACAATGTGCAAAGTTGTTGTTTGTTCAGTCTAAAGAAAGTGCAGAGTGTGCATGGGAGTTTATAGGCCCTTCACAAAAGCTCTAGTTTCTGGAAGGGCCACAGGCCTAAAGAGTCAGGGCATTCCCCGGGCTTCTCCACCGAGAATAGGGCTTACAGACCCAGGTCTCCAAGGCACCTAGCAACCTGGATGCGGCCCAGGCTGCCTGCTGCTGAGCAATTCTCATAAAGTCTGGCCTTGGATGGAGGAGTGGTTGGAGATAGAACGTCTTTACCCTTTTTGGCTCATAGACCCCTTGTAGTGAAAGCTCTGGAGGTTCCCCTGAACAATTCCTCCTGCCATTCAGGGGATTCCCAGAATCCTGGAGTCCTTCCATAGGCATCATAGACCCCACCTGGCAATCAACTTGACTGGGAGATCTCAGTGTTCTTCTAGTTCCAAGAGTCTAAGGCTTATGGTTTGCTTAGAGCCTGCTGGGCTGTGATTCCCTGACAGAGCCCTTTATGGGGGGTTAGGAGGATCTGTGTCCCCTCCTTCACCACCAGCATGTGTGGTCAGAGGTGACTGGGAAGGATGCCACGATGCCACCTTGTGCTTCTGTTCTGGAATTGCACATTTTCTGGGGCCGTGCACAAGCCTACCACTTTCCCGAAGAAATAAACAGGGCTCTTTACATTGCTGCTCCAGGGCCTTTGCATTGACCGTTTCCACTGCCTAAAGGTCTGGTTTTGAAGAAGCCATGTATGCAAGTGCAATTTGTACTGTCATATAATGAATCAAAAAAAGAGGGGGGAAAAACACACACCAAGTTTTTATAAAGATGCTTTTATTCTCATTTGGCTTCAGACTGAGAGAATATCATATGAGTATGTCAAAGAATTTTTTTGAAATTTGAGGAAAGGTTCATGAGGATTACAGAAGGTATATTAGTCATCTCTCATTATTTTTTGCTGCAGTAATAAACAACCTCAGCATTTCAGTGGCTAGAAGCAACAAGAGTATTTATTTATGCTGAAGTGACCTCTTTGCTGTGAGTCAGCTGGGACTCTGTTCCCGGAGGCCTCTTCATGGTAGGATGGAAGAGCTAATGACCTGCTGGGCAGACTCCTCACTTTTACCCCTTTCAAGGAGAAAGTGACTCAGAACGAAGGAACGCCCCACCCCTTCCCTTCATGAACAACCTTTCAGAGGGAAGGAAAGGTAAGGGTTGTGGAGAAGAAACTTTCTCCAGCTACAAGGATGTTAGGCTCCACCTTCCCAGAGCAGGACTGAGGCTGTCACTGCCCGGAAGCAGGAGTGGGCTGCATTGCAGCCACGGGGGAGGGACGGGAGGCCTAGATGTAGGCAGTGCAGAGGTCCGAGGGGACCTGAAGGTCTGAGACCCACTGTGGTTCCTGGTTTTGCACAGGAAATAATTCAAATGAGAACCAGCGTAGAGTTTAAAGTGAAAGGAGCGTATTAGTGGAGCAGTAGGACAGCGAGGGGCTTCTCCAGGGACAAAGGAGCACCTCCCCAGTGGGCTTTCCTTCTTTTACTGAGGCTCGTTTATTCGAGGGGTAGGGCATTGAGTAAGGGGCAGGATTTTCTGGGAAAGGGGTGAAGAGTTCTCAGAAGAGCACCGTGGACTATTCTGTGTCCTTTCCATTTCCTTTCTGTTTCCTTTCCCGGCTGCCCAGGATGTGTGGTTTAGCAAGCTCATGTACTACCATGAGCCTATGAAGAGGCTAGGGGTTACTGGAAGGTGAACGTAGTCACCATGTTGGACCAAGCTAGTCTTCTGCTGATGCTAAGCTGTAGATCTGTTGGGGGGTTGGTCTTACTATGTCTTTGATAGTCCTTGTAGCCCTTATTGGTTTCAGCCATTTCTTCACGTACCCTACCTTAGCCTGGGCCTGGAGCCCCCCAACAAACATATACATATACAAGATTGCACACCCCCAAACCTTTCTACTCCAACTGCCAACTAGGGAGTGGGAGAGTTTCTGGGTGTACGAGAGAGGGCTCAGGCAAAGGCAAAGAGGAGGAAGGGAAGAATGGGACAGAGGGCGGGGGGGGGGGGGGGGGGGATGTGTGGTGTGACAGCTCACTCCCCCAAGCTTCTTCAGCTCAGAGCACGCCAGGCCAGCATGGCCAGCCCCAGCTGCTTGCTCAGAGAGCCCCGAGCCTGCAGTTAACCCTGCACCTCTTCCCAGCCCCTCACCTGAGCCTCTTGGCACAGCAGAATGGACATTAGAGCAACCCACCTGCAAATGGGTAGGTGATTTGTTCCCCTTGAAATGCCTCTTTTCACGGCCACAGGAAAACAAGTTTCAAAGTGGATTGGGGAAGGGGGCTGGGGTTCAGCTATGGAAAGAATGAGGAGGGAACAGATGGTGCCTGCTAAGGCAACCAGATTCTCCCCACCCCCCCCCCCCCAGTTAATATGGGAATGACCTCATTTACATAGTATTTGCATAAATTTCCATTTCAAATTACAGCTGTCCCAACTTCAAGTATACAGGAGAAAATAAATGAGATCAGGCAATCTACTGTAAGTGAACTCAAGCTGACTTTTTGTGAAATGCAGGTCAAGCTTTAAAACCTGGCAGATGAGAGGAAATAAGTTTGTCCACTGATCATTAGAGGCAGCGGGGGAGGGGAAGGTGCTGGAGAGAGCTTGTCTCCACCTCTCAAGTTAGAAAAAGTTACCAAGGGTCCAGGCCAGAGGTGTGAGGAGATGAAGAATTCCACCTCTCCTCTGGTATTCTTCTCCTCCCACCGTGTGCCTTAGGGAGAACCAAAACTAGGAATGGCGCAGAAAAAGCAGGACTCTGTCCGGAAGTCAGGGAGGCTTGCGTCTAGCCCAGCCGCTTCCAGCCCCAGCAGAGTGGACATTGTGTGGAGATTGGGTGTGTTTCTGTCCAACCACCACGTCTGTCTGGCTACTTAGCTCTCCATCCATTCATTCTCATCCTCCCCCAAACCCCAATCCCATCACACACTCTCAGAGACAAATTTGTATAACTCAGTGGAAAGGTGGGCTCTTAGGGTAGGGGAGGTGGGGACAAGACCACAGCTGGAAGCTAGGATGATGTCATGCCTTGTAGGGACATGCTGGCTGCTCGAGAAGATAATTCCCACCCAGATGAAGGAAGGCCTAAGTGGACTTGCTATAGTGAAAGCTGATGGTCAAGGTAGCCTTCTGCTGACAAGTCCTGAGTGCTGGACTCTCTGCCATTGGGGGTAGGGGGTCTCCCTCCCTCACTCACTGATTTCTCTGCACATAGCATCCCCTCTACTTCCTCACGCCTTCCCCACAGGGGACAGAAGTGGGGGGCCTTGCTCTCTAACGTTCCCCTGAAACAGTTTTTGCTGAGAATTCTCAAGGCCTCCCTGTCCCTGAAGTTAAAGCCAAGAGGTTCCAAATCCCTCCACCCCAACTCCTACCCCTGGAGACAAGGGCATAGAACTGCCTGGCTGTTGGGGTGGCAGGTGGGGGAATTTGACAAGAGGGGTTTAAAAAAAAGAAAGGACATTTAGCCCTAGCTGGCTTGGCTCAGTGGATAGAGTGTTTAGAGAGTTGGCCTGAGGACTGAAGGGTCCCTGGTTCAAACCCTCATGTCTGGGTTGCAGGCTCCATCCCCAGGGGGGAGCATGCAGGAGGCAGCCAATCAATGATTCTCACTCATCATTGATGTTTCTATCTCTCCCTCTCCTTTCCTCTCTGAAATCAATAAAAAAATTGTTTTAAAGATGTTTATTAATATGTCAAAAAATTGACTTTCCTTTTTGGGAAGTTGTGACACAGAGCCCATATAAGCCCAATGAAAAATAGAAAAAGACCAGATGAGTGTTGCTGGCAGGTCATAAGAGAAGAGAAAGGTCAAGTGGAGAAGTCAGAGCCTAGTACTGGCTAATTTTCCAAAAACTGCACTCTCGGAGTCCTGGCCCCCAGCCCCTCGGGCCACGCCACACGGTGCTGAGAGCTGTCAGTGGTCTCGGGGCAGCTGTTGGACAGCTGCTCACGCAGCCAGTCAGGTGGTTCCAATGAGTCACCACCTTAGCGGGCTCCCACTGGCCAAAGAGAAGGCTCTGAGAAGGCAGCCTCAGCAAAGGCAGGTGTCTCACTCAGTGGGTCCTTCCGAGGCCCCAAACAAGCAGAACCGTGTTTTGGGGGACCATCCCATCCCTAACATAAAAAAATACCACGCTCTAAGCCAGAGGCTGACAAAATCTTTCTGAAAAAGGCCACAGAGAAAATATTTTAGGCTTCACTGGGTCATGCTCAAGTCTGCCATTTTAGTTCCAAAGCAGCCACAGACAATATGCAAATGAATGAGTTCGGCTATGAGCCAATAAAGAGAGACACTGAAACTTCAATTTCATATAATTTTCATGTGTTGTTAAATGATGCTTCTTTTGATTTCCCCCGCTTCATTC